CAGCTGACTCTAAGTCAAGTGCGACCAAGTCCACTTGTCCAAATTGTGGTCGTTCTGACCACACGAAATCTGTATGTCCTGCCAAGGGCAAGAAGTGCAACTCCTGTCATGGCATTGGGCATTTTCAGCGAATGTGCAAGAGCCAGAAACAGCCGAAGACTAGCTCTGCTGCCAAGCTTGGACAGCTGAAGCTACAGCGTGCGCGCGTGGACCGTCGCACAGTACCTGTTTCGACCATGCTGCAAACAGAGGATCAGCCATCCCAACTGTCCTGGACACCAGACACAGGCAGCGACGTTGATGCCATTGGTGAGGAGCACCTCACGCAGATCGGTGGGTTCGTCGAGAACTTAGATGACGACCACGACTGTGTGCAGGCTGTGACCGGTGAGCCGCTACGCAACCTGGGCAAGATACGTGCGACTCTACGAGTCGGTGAGACGCAGCATGAAACCGTCATCCATGTGTACAAGGGTCTACACGATGCCCTGCTCTCTCATACCTCATTGCGTGCGCTGAAGTTTCTCCCACCTGATTGGCCAGTCCAATTCACCGCTGAACACGAGGGTGCATCTTCACCCAAGATCTGTGCAGCTGTTTCGTCATGCGCTCATCCTAGTGATGCTGAGTTAGCGCGAACACGTGAGCAGCTCCTGCAAGAGTTCGCTGACGTTTTCTCGGATTCCGGTCTGAAGCCAATGGAAGGTCCGCCAATGGAAATTGAGCTACAGCATGATTCTAAGCCTTCCTGTGTGCACACTGCTCGACCAATACCGTATGCATTCCGTGACCAGATCAAGACTCAGCTCGACGGCATGGTCAGCGACGGGATTATTGAACCAGTGACGGAGCCCAGTGAATGGTGCCATCCGATTGTCATAGTAGACAAGAAGGGCAGCACTGAGAAGCGCCTCACAGTTGACTTCAAGCGGCTGAACGACCAAGTCCGTCGTCCCGCGCATCCCGTACATACGGCACGTGACGTTGTCTCTGGAGTTGGCTCTGCTAAGTTCTTTACGAAGCTCGATGCAAGGCACGGCTACTGGCAGATTCCTCTCAGTGACACTGCTCAGGAATTCACCACGTTTATCACCCCGTACGGCAGATATCGTTATCTACGGAACCCGCAGGGTCTAATATCTGCTGGGGATGAGTTCAACCGGCGCACTGATGCTGCGTTCTCTGCCATCCCGCGTCTCGGCAAGGTAGTCGATGATTGCCTAGCGTACGACGACGACTTTCTGTCGCATGTCAGCCACGTGCGCGAGATTCTGCTCTGCGCCAGGGAGCATGGTATCACGTTCAGCCCCGCCAAGTTTGTGTTCGGTACGCAACGTATCCATTTCTGCGGCTACAACGTCACGCCTGATGGCTGGGTCGTCGACGATGATAAGACGTCCGGTATTCGCCAGTTTCCAGTACCCGCCAACAGAACCGATCTCCGTTCGTTCCTCGGTCTAGTGAACCAATGTGGCGAGTTCACTCCACATCTAGCCGAGTTGACCAATCCTCTGCGTGGCCTGCTCAAGACCTCCCGTGAGTTCATGTGGGACGCTAGCCACACTGCAGCGTTTGAACAGACACAGGAAGCTCTCTTGTCTCCTCCGGTTCTCGCTTTCTATCAAGTTGGTCAAGACCTCCGGCTTGAAACCGATGCATCCGCTCTAAGAGGTCTCGGATTCGTGCTTTGGCAAAAGCAGAATGATCAGTGGCGTATTATTCAGTGTGGATCCCGCTACCTGTCTGATGCTGAAACCCGTTATGCTGTCATCGAGTTGGAAATGCTCGCTGTAGTATGGGCCGTGCGCAAATGCCGCATCTACCTGTCTGGTGCGCCATTTGAAGTAGTCACCGACCACAAGCCCCTGATTCCGATCATCAACTCATATTCGTTGGATCAGATCGAGAACCCGCGTCTTCTACGATTACGCCTCAAGCTCCAAGCCTATCAGCTGCAGGCATCTTGGCGACAAGGTTCTGAAAATGCCTTCGCCGATGCGCTGTCCCGGAATCCTGTTGGCATTCCTTCCACCACTGATGAGCTTGGTGAAGCCCCGTCGCTTCATTGCCGCAGCATTCAGATCTGCATGGTGCACTCGGACACTGAGCCGAATGCGAATCTCAAGGTTGCAGAGCTGCGGGAAGCTGCAGCTGCAGATGCCACGTACCAGTCATTGATTGAGTGTATCTTGACTGGATTCCCTGATCGCCAGCAGAAGTTGCCTGCTCCGTTACGTGCGTACTGGAATGGACGTGAGCATCTCTCCGTCGACCATGGCATTGTGTTGAAGGGCAACCGCATTGTTGTTCCTGAATCATTGCGTGCTCAGGTATTGCACAACCTCCACGCTTCACACCAAGGCCTAGTGCGTACTAAGTCTCGTGCGCGTCAGCTTGTATACTGGTCCGGTATCACCAAGGACATTGATACACTCGTTCGTTCTTGTCCTGCTTGCCGCGAACACCAGTCGTCCCAGCCAGCTGAGCCCCTGCTGAACGACCGCACCCCGACACTACCGTTTGAATGTGCATCTGCCGATTTGTTCACTTGTCAAGGTCACGACTTCCTTGTGTATGCAGATCGTTTGACCGGTTGGCCCTGTGTCGCGCGTACTGGCCGCACCACCTCATCGCATGACGTGATACTCGCATTCCGTCGCTGGTTCTCTGATGTTGGTGTTCCTGCTGTGCTGTGTACAGATGGTGGTCCCCAGTTCTCCTCGCATAAGTTTGCTGAGTTTTGTAAGCGCTGGCAGGTAAACCATGTCATGTCCTCTCCCCACTACCCGCAGAGTAATGGGCACGCCGAAGCTGCTGTCAAAGCCATGAAGCGTCTTATCACCAAGACAACCGTGAATGGCAATCTTGACACAGATGACTTCCGCCGAGGGCTACTGGAATGGCGAAACACACCTGGCTCCTCTGGTCAGAGCCCCGCTGAGCTCCTATATGGCCGCTCTCTCCAGTCATTCGTCATTGCACATTGGAAGGAGTTTGATTCATCCTGGCTCTCCAAAGCGACGACACGTGATGAGACTGCCATGCCATCCGACGATTCCGTCACAGACAAGTCGTCAACTCGTCGCTCGTTGCCGCAGCTCCGCCTCGGCACCCACGTGGATGTTCAGCATCCGCGCACCAAGCAGTGGTCTATTCGTGGGGTCATTGTTGCTGTCGGTAATCATCGGGACTACCTAGTGAAGTTGCCGAGTGGTCGCATTTATTGGCGGAACCGCAGATTCCTGCGTCCGTATCGCCCACTTGTGCCTGCACCGCTTGTTGTCCAACCGGCTGCTGCTGACGCCTCTTCCCCGCCGCCGCCGTCCCGCCGCAGCGCACGTCAGCGCAAGCCACCCCAGCGTTTAAACATTGGTTCGCATCATGGACAGTCCTATGATTGACACTCTTGATCACTAATGTCAATTTCTGCTGTCTCTGCTTTGTTGTTTTCATTCTTCATTTTGTTTTATTTATGATAGATGTTGCTGTCACAGGTTTCGCAACATCTCGAAGGGGCGTGATGTGTATCTATATTCATTACGTCATAGTTGTACTGCATGCACGCACACACACAGATTAGTTGAGTGTGCTTCTTTTTCCGGTTGTTCTTTCTCATGACATGTTTTGTTTCTGTTCCCAAGTCTTCACGAATAAATAGTAACGTATCAAGGCCGTCCGGGCCATGGACAAGGAGAAGATCGAGAAGCGACTGGTCAGTGATGGCGTGCGATGGCGCTTCAACCCACCTAGAGCACCACATTTCGGCGGCGTATTCGAATCCCTCATCAAGACGGCTAAGCGCGGACTCACAGCAGTACTTGGGAAAGCGGACGTCACAGATGAAGAGTTAGTGACTGCTATGTGCCAGGTTGAGGGCATGATGAACTCGCGCCCGCTGACAGTTGTAAGTGCCGATGCAGCTGATTTGCAGCCTCTAACACCAGCACATTTCCTCGTCGGACGACTCGACCCACCAATGGCTCTGGAAGTGAAAGCAGACGAGCACCCCAGCAGAGACCCACGCAAACGTTGGTTGTATGTTCAGCGGCTTGTAGCAGACGTGTGGAACAGGTGGCGAGATGAGTATGTTCCCTAGTTGAATGTCCGTCGTAAGTGGCAACGTCAAGGTCGCAATGTAGCCGTAGGTGACATCATGCTGTGTCTTACATCAAACACTCCCCGTGGAACATGGCCCATGGGTAGAGTCACAGCAGTGCATCCTGGTGCAGACAAGCTCGTCCGAGTAGTGGATATTAAGATCGGCGACAAGATCTACCGACGGTCTATCCACCATCTAGTACCTATTCTGGACACCGAGTAGTTTGTGCCTTGTGTATCTGAAGTGCTACAGGCAGCCCTGTGACAGTACTCTCTCTCTCTCTCTCTCTCTCTCTCTCTCTCTCTCTCTCTCTCTCTCTCTCTCTCTCTCTCTCTCAACCTATGAAGTTTTTCTTTCATCATACAGTACCGTAGTAGTACTCACTCGTCACAGTTTGTTTGCTGACCCTGTGCTCGTGAGTGAAGGGGGATATGTTCTGGAATATTCCCAGCTTGTGGTGAATCTTGCATGACCTTTCATTGTACTCAGGTTTCGTTCCTTTTATTCTAGTGCATGCTGCTGGCGCCTGATGTATTGACTATTGTTACCGCAGGCCAGTCTCAACCTTTGCATTGTCTGAGATTCAAGTAGCGTATCGTTTGATGCATGTGCTGTCTCCATGCTATCTAGTCGTAATATATTCACTCGTCTTTGCATTTGTGCACAGTCCTGTGGATACTCGCAGGCTGCGATTGCGCTCTCGCTTTGGTCATTCTAGAATGTATACTTCCATGCCTTTGAAGTTTTTGAGTTGTCAGTTTTGAACTGTAGGAAGCAGTTTACAGTTTTTGTTCTTGCAGTTTTATCTCAGAGGAGAAAGTTCTTGGTCTCATACTGTTACGAGTTGCTGTTGTATCTGGTTGAACGCATGCCGGGGCAACAGAGGGCAGCATGAGTAGCCACTTAGTGTGTGCGATGTAGACAATCAGTACCCGTATTGTACTTGCCGTACATCTGGGATTGGCTAAGAGAGTACAAGTGGAACTGAACAGGCAACACCGTGCACAGCTGATTACATCCAAGAATCCTCTGACGAATCCAGTGGACAGATCTATGCCAAGCAGCTTGGTTGCCAAGAACCCTGTGAAAAATCGATTGGGCAGGTCCATGGGAAGCAGTTTGGTTGCCAAGAGGACAAATCCAGTGGACAGATCTATGTGAAGCAGTTTGGTTGCAAGAAGCCGAGCAGGCGCGATGAGGCGGCTCTGGAACAGCTGAGCTTGCTATCGCAGCAGAATCAATACTGCGGCTTGCATGCAGCATTCTTTGCGAATATCTGCGCTATACGCCAACCGTGCAAATCATTCAGGTAGCAGTGGTGCGGCCAACTCTGCTAGCCTTTGGGACAGCTACTCCCAGCACATGGTATTGGGCTAGTGAAATTACAAACGGATCTAAAAGTGTATTTGTGAATGCTATTCTAGACTATTCGTGCAAGGACTGACTGCTTTATTGGCGTTTGTTTGCCAATCTCTTTAAAGTTTGAGAACAAGATCCTGTCGGAATTTAGCTTATTATCTTGCCAATGCTTCCCCACTGCAAGACTTCAAACTCACTGGTACTCGTCAATGTACAGCTTGCCTTTATTTTCAATTTTCCATATTCCTCCCACATCGAGATGAAGACAATAATTGTGCTATTTCGTACTTCAGTGTCCACCTACACTTATGTAGCGCCATAGCCACTGTGGTATGTGTAACATGTTTGCGCTGTCTACCGGTCTGTGCATATCTTGGCAATGTGGAATACATCAGTAACAGTACAATCGGACCACTTTCTAAAATTACTTGCCTGAGAAGTTGTGAACTGTCTTGCACATCCCTTGCACACATGAGAACTGTGTACTGTTGGCTTGACTTTTGGATGGGTACTGTACCGTGTAAAAAAAAAGCTTGCTACTGTGTACCGTATCCAAAAATTGAGCTAACAGTACACAGTTCTCGGCCAAGTAACTTAGTTGCCCGGAATATAATGAGCACTTCAGAACAATGGACCCTTCGGAGGATGATAATAGAAACAGGGGGTAAACGGTTGTTTACTATTCCCTGTTTCAACCCATACTTTTCCTATCCAGAGTACCCGTATACAATACAATGTACACAGTCAACTGGTCAACCTTACTGGGGTATAGTGTGCAGTGTAGATGCACTACGCTGGACTCACTGTGGTATACATGTGCAGTAGCCAAAAAGAGATGGAAAACACAGCTTTGGAGTGGATTCGAGGAAGAAACGGAATAAAGACTGATGTACTAAAGTTCAGCGATAAACGTCCTAGTGGGAAATGTCGAGACCAGCTCAAATGATAAAACGACAAAATATTCAACGGTGATAGCCTGTTGTAAATCTACACAAGATGAGTATAAAACAAAATATCCTACCACGTTGCATGCAGTGAAGTTTAGGCGCGCACAACATCAAGAGAAGGGGAAAGCCAAACACAATTAATTAATACTTTTCACATGACAGAAGAAGAAGATGATCAGTCACGGATGTACAGGCAATATTTACTCACGGAGCACACGGGAAAGCACACGCGGGTGTGTGGTGCTTTGCTCTGTGCGACTCGGTTCAACACTTACTCGTAATGATACGGTGCAGTGTCTGTCATGTTTGCTTTGAGTGTAATGTGTTGACTGGAGCAGCAGCAGCACACAGTGGCACTTCCACTGCATGCTGCACAGGGAATACCTCCACTGCTTCACACACTTAGGTCAGCTGGAATAGGAAAACGTACAGGGATGTGGCAATGAACTCAATCAGACGAACTGCTCCCTGACCGGCTTTTTGGGTGTTCTTGCTTCACACGCTCCTATACTTCCATCCCCTCTTCCTCGTCCTGTTGCTCGTCGTCGTCGCCCTCCTTCACCTCAGCTTTGACATCGACCGCATTGCTTGTACAATCCTTGCCTACGGCCATCACAACACACAATCAAGGTGCAATGCCGGCATAGTGATCAATAACATGCAGGTTATTGAGGTATACAGTATATACAGCTGAGGCATGGGCAGGAAGGACTGGGATGCCACCAGGCTAGGGTGTCAACACACAGATGCACATAATACTGATGTACAGTCAAACCTCGTTAGGACGAACACTGATAAGGTGAACTTTCCATTAGTACGAACACGGGCCAATCCTATGATTGGCCAGGCATCAATTCAAGTCAAAATTATTCGTTTACGACGAACTTCTGTACTGCGAACTTTCGCGAAGACGAACTATTTTCAAGTGTGATTTGAACAAAATCAGTGTGGTCATGTACATGTAGTACGAACTTTCGGTCCACGAGCGCGCGCTGGCTGCCTTTTTTCTTCTTCTTTTTTGCAATAGTCGAAGCCATATCGTACGTACGTACAGTGCAAATTGCTTTCAAGCGTGTTTTGAAAAAATAATCAGTGCGTTGTATGAACTTTCAGCACAGTCGTGATTCATTGCACATTGCCATTGTACTTACCTGTTTCTGGCTTATGCTAAGAATAAAATGCTTCCCATGTACAACAGCATGCACCTTCACGTAAATACAATCTATATTATATGCATATGATATGCATACTGTATAGATTTTTTGTCAGATCTGGATAAGAAGAACTCCCGATAAGACAAACAAATTCGTTCAGTCCCTTGAAGTTCGTCCTAACGAGGTTTGACTGTATGTATTGCTGTGGTCTACACTCTACAGTCATGTACTGTAGGCAGCGACCACACTAAGCCACCTTCGCGCGAGGGTGAGCGATCAAGTGGGATACACGGTGCTGGCCATTAAAGATTCAGTTCCTACCACCCGGACCCCAATACAATGTAGCCAATGTGCATGGCCAACAACAAGCTGACAAGAACAAGAACAACAACAACAACAACAACAACAACAACAACAACAACAACAACAACAACAACAAATCTCTTATTGGCAACTGGCTATCGTGAGAATAAAGATTTGAAACAACAACAACAACAACAACAACAACAACAGCAGCAGCAGCAGCAGCAGCAGCAGCATCAACAACAGCAGCAGCAGCAGCAGCAACAGCAGCAGCAACAACAACAGCAGCAGCAGCCGGGACAAGCTGCTGAGCACACAATATCAAACGAAAGTATTAAAACGCGCCACTCACCAGCTACTTCTGAATTGCCATTAGTACCGTTCTTCTCCGTGGAAAGTGCTGGATTGGGCGGTGCTTGAGTACCAACCAGGACACTGGCTTCCTCTGCCTGCCTTTCCACCTTCAACAGGCGCTCTTCGTGAAGGCCCTTCTCTTCCTCCGCAACTTGAATGCGCAGAGACTCCACTTCCCTGGATAGCGCATCTAAGTCATGACCGCACTCGCCAACGCTGACCGCGGATGCCTACAGCATACAGCAGCAGGGCAGTGGGCAAAGAAGGACTCAACATCCATATGCATGGAGTGCATCACAACCACAACCGAGTAGATGAACCGTGGGCCAGGGACGCAAGGATTGAAATGGTTGAACAGTCAATTCAATTTAAAACTGTATAGCATTCCTGATGGCGGGCGGATATCACTGAGTGCACAAGGAGACATACAACAGGGACCGGATGAAACATGGGATAGCAACTAGGCCACAGCCAACGGCTGCTATTTTAAAAACACACATACAAATTACGAGCGCACGCACGCACACTTGACACACACACACACACACACACACACGCACACACACCACACATTGTACAGCGGTGGCAAATGAAATCCAACAGCTCCAGCGCTATGCAGCCACGCACCATATATGCGCACACTGTACATGTACCATGCAGCGTGCACAGCTCTACTCGATTGACAAGACTGGATTTCACTTTCCACAACTGTACTTGTAGCTGTACAATATGCATCACGGAGTAGTAAAATACCAGTATTTTACTACTCCGTGATATGCATGATAGCAAGAGTACATAACCCCCCAGAGTGTGCAACGCCTGATCCAGCTCTGCATAGGGTCTTGGTCGAGCGGAATCGGATCTTTGCGTCATAATACCGTACACATCTGAGGGGAACCCGGGGAGTCGCGGGTACTCTTGGATCAAAAACAATGGTGCCCTGCCTCGAGACCGGCCTTGCGCTGGTGTGAAGTGTACGCATGACATCAGAAGATCCGATTCCGCTCGACCAAGACCCTACACAGAGCTGGATCGGCGTTGCACACTCTGGGGGGTTATGTACTCTTGATGATAGCAAGAGTCCATAAACAAGAGTATACAACTGTGATCTCTTTTCTATTACATGGGCCAGATGCGCGGCATCATTCATCTGCAGTCCGCGCACTGCGGAAATTCAAACACCGCACTTTCCCTCTGCTTTGAAATGAACTTTCGTACGAAACTGGAGTTCACGCGCCAAAATTTAAGAGATTGCGTAGGTACTGGAACGAATCGAGCAAAACGGATGGGCTTGCACGAGAAATTGTGGATTTGAGTGCATGCTTTCAGAGCGTGATGGAGGCAGGTTACGTAATGAAGGCAGCGCGTCGCGCACTGACCCATAACCACAGTTGCATACTCTGGTGTTTATGCACTCTTGATGATATCAGTCTTGATCCAATAACCATAGCAATGTTCCCAGTACATTACAGTACAGTCAGTACCTTGAGCTGATCCAGGAGAGCACGGTAAGAGGTTTCGATGACATCACGACTAGTTGCGGCATGATCACTGCAGCAACACACACAGCACAATGTACAAAAGTATTCAGTAGAAAATGGAAATGGAAGAAAGATGAAGCAATATTGCCAATAACAAGAACAGCAAAAAAGTGATAACAACAACAACAGCAACAGCAACAGCAGCAGCAGCAGCAGCAGCAGCAGCAGCAGCAGCAACAACAACAACAACAACAACAACAACAACAACAACAACAACAACAACAACAGCAACAGATTAAGTATTGCCGAAGTCGCTACAACCTCTTCTTCAGATTAGTATACGTGTGTTCAATGCCCTCATGATGTCCAATGGGCGAATTATTGGCAGTCCTTTCATTCCTTTTGTGCAGCTGAGAGCCTGTTCGGGGAATGGAGGTGTTAACAAGTGTTCAGTAAGCCGGAATAGCCAATGAGCCAACACGGAAACAAGGAAACTGCAAGCATGTGCTACTACAGCAGTGGACATTGACGTCCGTTGAGAAGCCAAGCGGCCACGGAACGCTGGCCTTGCAGCCGCGATCACTGCTGGTACATTGTTAGTGCGTACGCGCATGTACACACAGTACAGTGAGTGAGGGCGCCGGCCCCGGTCATCCCATCGGATTTCAATGTCCATGACAGTGGTAGCTGTTCCTCAACAACCGTCATCATCACGCAGTTTCAGTAACACCCATGAATCGGAGTCATGATAATACAATGAACCCATCGATGCACCATGCACCATTTCAGATTACATGTCTAATCAAGTACGACAGTATAGTTACAACTAACCCAACATGGCGCTGCATAGTCTCCGAGGCAGAGTGACATGCCACAGCACTCGACTGCGTATCCTTATACGTCAGTTTACGTATCGAGCCCAGGTTAACGATTGACACGGGAAATTGAAAACGCTCACTGCAAACGAGGGAGGGACAGAAAGAGAGAGAGAGAGAGAAAGAGAGAGAGAGAGAGAGAGATAGAGAGAGAGAGAGAGAGAGTGTGTGTGTGTGTGTGTGTGGTGAAATGATTACCTTGCAGTTTGCAAAGTTCACAACATGAGATGAAGGGATGTGAAGTGAAGCCGGACACTTCTTGAGCACAATGCAACAATGTACTTGGAAAGAATGAAACATGCCGTTAGATCTAAGCAAGTAGGGTACTCCATTGCTCAAAGAGTGCTCTCTACCCTGACACAGAGATTCGCCACACAGCAACTACAGGGAATACAACGCAACATGCAGCGGAATTCCTCCTTCCCTCTCCCTGCATGCAGCATGTTGTCAGTAATCTAGTCACCTCGCTTACCAAGTATCCAGACATTTCTGTGTGAAAAACAAAATGTGTGCAGCTAAGTGAGGTCTAAATGTGCGCTTTCTTTATCTACTAAAACCTGTCACGGAGTACAGTCTAACTCACATGCCACCAATGTTCCGAAAGAACGTGTACAGATAAGTGTGTAACGCTGAGTTGTCATCTAACTTCCATGACCACAGATTGAAGACAAATTCTTCATCACAGCAGTGCAAAGCAGACAGAGAACAAACGAAGCAGAGCATTTGCAGGAAGGAGACGTTCTTGCTCTTGGCACAGAAAAATCAGCTGATCTTCCATAACCGAGTGAAACGTAATTACAGTTAGTACTAAGGTCGAATAGTCCCTTTCACAGTTTTATTGAGTACTAAGGTCCATTAGAAATTTCTCACATTTGATTACTACCCTACGTATACAGTCACAACCTGATAAGACGTACCCACAAGGGAACAAGGAATAAGGACTTCACAGCCGAGGTACTCACTACACCCACGCTGCAATCAAGTGTGACAATATTTCACCAACTGCCAAAAGTACGTACTACCCATTTCCGACAGAATAGGAATTGGGTTTTTGGGCCTGCTAATCTGGTCTAAATCGGATTTAAAAAAGCCCAGAGATCAATACATATTTGTGAATGGACGGTGTAGTCGTCCGCAAAGAGGGTCGTTAGATCATTGCTAACGGGCACAGTAGGTAAGTAATGTGTCTCATTTTGAAACAGTGATTCACAGGCATCAGGGTTCACCACACAATTGTTGACGGCATTTAGAAGAAAGACAAGAACAAGAACCACTGACGTACCCGACGGTGGCACAGCAGTGCAGCGTAATGCCAGTGCTTGGTGAAACGAAGTCTCTCTGATCGTGGGCACTTCTCTTGTGTGCCGCCGATACCGATACCATCCTACAATTCTCTACACACACACACACAGGCAAACACACAGACACATTTGTACGTGCTCACTACCAGCCACACAGTCTACTAAGAGAGAGAGAGAGAGAGAGAGAGAGAGAGAGAGAGAGAGAGAGAGAGAGAGAAAAGGGAGGGGGGGGGGTGGTGGATATATATATATATAGAGAGAGAGAGAAGAAAGAGAAAGAGAGAGAGAGAGAGAAAGAGAGAGAGAGAGAGAGAGAGAGAGAGAGAGAGAGAGAGAGAGAAAAGGGAGGGGGGGGGTGGTGGATATATATATATATAGAGAGAGAGAGAGAAGAAAGAGAAAGAGAGAGAGAGAGAGAGAAAGAGAGAGAGAGAGAGAGAGAGAGAGAGAGAGAGTGTGTGTGTGTGTGTGAGAGAGAGAGAGAGAGAAAAGAGAGCACAGAGAAAAGCACATGACATGAGGAAGCAAATAGCTGGGGGCATGAATGCCTCAAGAAGACCACTTTGCAGAAATACACTCACGTCACGTGCTTCTTGAGGTACCGTTACGTCGAAAGCGTCTTCATTGATGCTGCCATCTCGATACCATAGGCTGTCAATCAAACCCCACACACATCAGGACAAATTATCAGAGAGAAATGAGGCCAAACCTGCTAGCAATGAGGTGGGAAGAAGAGAAGCGTTTGACCGCAGGCACAAAGCTTGGCTATTTGAAGTATCAGTCATAGACTCACCCGGAGATATCATGGCATGTCGCAACTTCTTCAATTACTGCACACAGCAGATGTGTCGTCCAGGTTCAAACACACACGTACACATACGCACACAGAGCACGGACACAGAAAACATCAGTACAGAAAAAAATGAATGTCGTGAACGAACACTTATGACTTGATTGTTGATTCGATGCCTGGCCAACCGTAGGATTGGCCCTAGTTCGTACTAGTTGGCCTGATCAGTGATCGTCCTAAAGAGGTTTCCCTGTACTTCAAAGTAGTGGCACTGATCGCTCTACAAGCCCCACACTCTCAACGGTAAGAACATGCAATTTGATCTCTCCTGGCCGAGAATCAGTTGTGAGCCTTGTCACCCAGCTTGAGTCAATTAAGAGTGAGATATGCGACAGATGATCACCCTAAGTTAGTTGTTTACTTGCTTTCTTACACAGGTACTGCTCGATGATACCGATTGGCCACTTTGGGCTTCAAGAAAAGAGAAAGAAACGCACCTGAACAATTTACATGACCTACCGAGGACACACGGAATACCAACCAGCAGAGTACTTACTCATTGTTCGCGTCACTTCCGTTGTTGTCACGTCGCTGGTGTCGCTGACACTGGAGACCTCACGGCTGTCCACGCGGCCCAATAACACACCGGCCTGTAAAGAAGAGCCGGCACAACCGCCGATGCACGAGTGGAGAAAAAATAGTCAGATATGAGATTGCTGACACACATTTGTTTTCACTGCACTGTATGCTGATAGCGGCAAGTAAACGCATTGGAATGATATTTTCCTTTTTCATCTCACTCATGAATATTGGAACAACGATTTCCTTTTTCAACTCGCTCAAATTAATGAATATTGGAACAACGATCTCGGCGACAACATCATCACTGTGATTACTAGGACCAGAAACCGGATAATCGAACACACATACTGTATGTATGCATGGCATTTGCTGTAAATCGGTAACCAACGATTTTCTTCCGGATGGCGAGGGATCCGGATAAGCGAGGTCTGACTGTACTGTCTCCTTGAGTCCTTAGAATTCATTCGTTTAGTGCTATGAATCGTTCACTGATGAGAGAAACACGAAAGTCGAATATGAACATTGTTGTCCACCAATAGACCTATACAGCCTCCATCGCTATGGGTCTTAAAGGGGAAGTTCACCCTAAAATCAAAACTTCACAACCTGTAGCGAACGATGCACTGATTCCAATCGTGAAAGTCCCACATTGATTGGAGCAACCGTTCCGGAGTTATAGCATCTTCAGGTTTGGCAAAATTCTGTGACATCATGATGACGTCATAATTTGCCCATCCCTGTGACGTGACGTCACAGAGATAAACTTTGTATGGGAATAGATGGTGGATAGCCAATTTCTCGTTTTTCGTTGCTGCAACAAGCTTTCTGGGGATATGTTTCCAGTTTAGATACCAGTAAGGTGTCATATATCCCATATCAGATTTTGAAAAATCAGTTTATCTCAATGACATCATAAATTATGATGTCATCATGACGTCATTGAATTTAGTCTAAACTTCCAGATGCTATAACTCCAGAACGGTTGCTCAGATCAACCTCGGACTTAAATCTTTCGCCATTGGAATCAGTGGATTTTTCCCTATAAGTTCTGAAATTTTGATTTTAGGGTGAACTTCCCTTTAACAGTTATGACATCAGTCTTCTGAGTTATGACATCAGTCTTCTGAGTTATGACATCAGTCGTTTGCTGCCATTTGGTTCACTGATGCCATCATGCATATAGAGGTCAAAAGTGCAAAGTAACTAAGTTGTACGAGTAGCAGAAGCAGTACAACAGACGGTACATTCATGCGTCATGAACCTAAATGAAGTGACACCGTATCTAGAAGACAAGCACAGGAAACCATATGCTCTTGACCGTACAGTTGAGTCGCGCGCCGAAGAACGTTGAGCCCAAGCACATCCAGCCTGAAATGCTAAGAAAGCCGCAGCCTAAAGCTAAGAACGGCGGTGCTGGTTTTCCGGCAGCTTTTGGGATACATGATCCAATACGAATTGTTTCTAGGAATGTGTTATAAGAACGCAGCCAGATTGTAGAAAAATAAGAACACCCCAGACTCACCCCTTGGAAACAACGGTCTTGGACGTGCTACTCTTCTGTACTTCTTCCAAAAAGTGACGCGTTAAAAATATTCCGCCATATGTGAGTCCAGTGCAGCTCAAGATAAGGAGTTGCACACTCTTGGTTATGTACTCTTTGCCCTATCGATATCAGTGGCAGCAATAAATATTTTCTTCACTTTAGTCTTTTGTTGAGAGTACAATTGTGGTTCATACATTGTACTGGCAATATTAATACCTACAAACTACTAGTCTACAAGAAGAGAATAAGAGCAGCTATGCCATTAAAATGCAATATATACTAGAAGTTAGCTTTGGTTAATAGTGAACTATAAATATAATAGACATATCTACAACATTTTTACTTCAAAGTAGCTGAAAAGCTGAAAAGCACCTACAGTACGCTGACTTCCAATACTCACGGTATCGCTAGCGCAATTCGCCAGCTCATACATTATCGTCGCCAAAACCGGACCTGCAACATGGGTCTCCATCTTGGATGCGTCTGGACCACCAAATGCAGCACTCGATGAGGTATTCCGTGTTTCGACAGATTGTTTTCAATGGATAACTGTAAGCTCTTCGCAGAGGCGAAGTTCTGGTCAGACAACACAATACTTGATCACTGGCAAAAAGATTCCAGATATCAGGTCGTGATTGATAACGAGCAGTCTCTTGCAGACATTCAAACAACCAAAGATACTAGTAACAACAACATCGGCCTCACTTGCAGTAAATAAGTAAAATAATAATTATTGAGTTCCTGATACTGTACTGTGATAGTTTTTGATTTTTGGATTTGAATGGCATTAATTTTTTTGTTTTGTCGATTATGATTCACGTCTTGACGTCATGCTTTGCTGTTGTATGCAACGGCTTTGATGCCATGCCAACTGCCAGAGCGGCTTGTTTGAAAAAAGTAAGGAAGGAGAGTGTGTAAGCGTGGCAGCACACATGGTCGCGAGTAGAAAGAGTCACGAAAGGACGCATCAAGGACGCGTAGTCGCGTACACACCTGGAAGCAATCCTTCTCATTTGAATCGTTCTCTGTGAAGTGTCATGTCCAGTATGCTACTTTGAGCTGTATTCTCTGGACGCCGGTCAACATCGAGTGAAAGTCATTGCTCCCAGTACTGCGGTGTTACAGGGGTAAGTGGCGGGGGAAACGAGGAGCAATTATTTCCATTCAAAGGCTGTTATGCACATGCAATTTGTTGACTTCAGATGATATTATCAATATCATTTCTCACTATGCGTATCAGATGATAATTAGTATTCATATTCAGCGTTTGAATTCAAGCGTGGATTCCCATGGACTCGGACTGTTGTGCTCCGTGTTTTCTGGTACTGTACCCTAGGAATTGAAGAAGTCCCACAGAGCCAGTGGCAGAGGCAAGGTGGGGGGCAGGTACTGGGTGCACCATGAGTCTGTCTACCCCTGGAAAGACCAACACCAAGGCCAGTCCGGCTAGAAGCCCTCTGCTCAGTCCCAAACACAAGCTGACGTTGCCAGAGCTAAGTCGAGCAAGGTCAGTGGAGTCGGTACCTGTCACAACTAGATTTGCATCTGATTTTATCATGAACAAAGTGCGTATGGATCACACACTATTTTTTGTATACATGTACATGTATTTGCAGTGCACTCTCCAACGAAAAACTCAGGGTTCGGACAGACTCTGGTTTTCCAGAACTTCTTTTAAAAAACCACCAAGGTGGATTTAAAAAGTGATTCTCAGTAAAGGACTAATAAGTTACGAGTTGCGACTATCAATCCACCAAGGTAACGAGATGCTATGCTGTAAGATACTGCGACAACAAGGCACAAAACTGACAGGGATATTGAGACATTCAACGACCTGGCACCTACCTCCAAAACATCTACGAGGCGCAAACCAACAACCTTCCAACTTGGAAGGCTCAGGTTAGAAAGGTTCAAAGAGGGGAAGGAAAGCGCAACGAAGATGTTAATACTATTGACTCAACATTCGAGTTTTAGTAAAGAGACTGTTTTTGAAATTGGGGGAGTGAAGCAGGGGCGTAGCCAGGATTGTGGCTGAGGGGGGTGCTCACTGGAAGTGTGGGCCTGCGGGAAAAAAGGGGGGGGGGTCCGGGGGCCCTCCCCCGGAAAAATTTTCGATATTGAGTGCCAAATCCTTCATTTTTGCATCTATTTCATTATTTTCCATTCCACCAATGATTCAATAAAAAGTCAGATAATCGTATGAAACGCACAGTACTTTGCTACAGAAGTTGGATGGTAAGAGATTGACAGAGTGTGGTTAGACCCAGAATATAATACAGACAATTGTTGAAGTTCGTTCAATCCACGCAGACTCCGCCGGAAAGCGAAGGGCTAAACACCAGCCATGGCTTGTATACATCGAGCCAGCGGGGCTGAAAAGACCGGCCACCATTCTTCGGGAAAACAAACGAACTATCCGGTTGGACATGGTCCTTTAGCAGGGCAAACATCACGTCGTCGTCGAGCGGTGCACCCTTCGCAATGTCCTCCATAAAGGTACCGATGTCATTTCGGACGACTGCTACTGGTACAGCCAAGGGCGACAACTGCGGCTCTTCCGAGTCTTCGACTTCGACAATTTCGCAATTAGATTCGTCAGATTCGGAAATGGCACTGGCACTGCTGCTACTGGTATCTGGTCTCTTCGACTTCCCTCGACTGAAATACTTCAAGATCGACATTTTCATAAGAATCCATTCGACTTGCGGATCACAAAACGACGTTGCCACTTCTCTTTCACTTCTACCAAGTCTAGCTACACAAAGTGCGAGTCTATACCGGTAGTTGTACAACGCACGTGCAGCGCAGCGTCTTGTCGACGTCGAGTCTCGATCGCGGGCGGGCGTAGATCCACAGCAGTACGAAAATGGCACCTGAAATTTTTGAGGGGGGTGCTTGGGCACCCAAAGCACCCCCCCTGGCTACGCCACTGTGAAGCTTTATTCAATGTGTCATGTGTAAGTGGCCGCGTTGGAGTTTACGGACGATAAGAACGGACAAATTCAACAGATAGGAAAGGCCTGTAGTGACAGACTGCACAGCCACAAAGCATGCATGGCATGGTTATGCAAATAGCATGTGCAAGAGCAGCAGTGCACAGATGCAGATTGCTTTCCCCCTGTCAACTAAAACTTGGCTCGTTGTGAATGATGGCCCGTAGAAAACATGGTGGATTTTAGTTTATGGAGTACTGGTAAGTGTACTTACCAGGTGGAGAACACTCAAACTGTAAATGGTATCGACTGAATGTATAGATCCACTTGTGAAACGGGTCTGAAACTCTCATCTCTTCTACGGTGGGGGTTTTCATCTCTTCGCATAGCTGCTTCATGACCCCGAGTCTTGTGGTCTGGGCTCTGACTGCTGTGACTAAATGAAGCTGTAAGCCATTTAATTGCCGACCCAGCACACTACACTATGGTATGGGGGTGGAGCTGCCAAAGCGGACAGTCATGGCCATACTGGGGAGTTGCACTTGGGATGTTCTCAGAAATTTAATTTAATTAATTGCCAACATCTAGCAGGGACACTTTGGTGACCGTGAGTGAGTACGGTATGCTGGCTCCTCTACATGACAGTATCAACAAAGTCTGACTGTTTGTACCCATTCTCTACTTACCAAATACCGTAAAGTACCGTTGATCCCCCCCCCCCCCCCCACGCCGTGTCGCTTCCCAGCTGGTTTTTCGGCCGGGGGCGGGAATCAGATCAAGACTGTCGAGTGCAGTACGATGTACAACAAAGCAGAAGATCAGACCTGGCATGCTGGATTGTGCACATTTTCATCCTGCACTCGCACGTATCGTGTACAGCAGTACAGGTGTCGGTTCAACATCGTATTTCGTTGTATACGCCAACGTCGCTTCACAGGCAGACATTCGACAGGGGGCAGAAATTAGAGCGGGGGCGGATCAACGGTACTTTACGGTACTGCTGGAAAATATCATCTAACATGCACATTAGTCCTAGGGCCCATTTGAAATTTCTCACTTTTACTTGACACATGTTTGCTAACATAGATTTTATTATCATTCCTGGATGGTTTTTGCCTCCTGAACACGATGGCATAGGTTTCGATTGCCGGATTGTGTCCGAACATGGTGAAAAACATCAAAATAGAAAAGGCCGTTATTACCATAGCAACCCAACTAGAATTGCTCCTATATCCATTTTTACTGACACGTATATGGCCAAGTAGCACCTCATTTTGCTCAGAATAAGCAGTAGATACAGTACGGCAACAAGTACTGTACTTTAACAGTGTCAAAACAAAATTTCCAAGGTGCAGTGAAACTTGGCTATTGGACATGTACATGCACAGTACATGTCGCGTCGAATGTTAGCATTGAGGTACGTGTACATGTACGTGCAGCTAGCAGGTACATGAGACTATTTACAGGCATGCATTACTATAATCAGACTGCAAACACGAGAGAAGCGTCAGACGGTTCGGCGTTACACTTCAACTGAGAGAATAGGTATTGTAACCCAAATACTAACAGGAGAAGGAAAAGGTGGTAGGAAACTGTCAGAGTCTAAGGAACGAAGTGCTATAGGACAGTTTCAACCTGAACTAATTTACTCGAAGTACGTGTAGATATTACGATAGATCTTGCAGCAATGTAAGAAGGACAACACTACTTGTATGCGATGGCAGTGCTGTAACGAAAAATGATGAAAATGAAAATACCAAAATCCTTTGCATAAAACAGTCCAAACATTGGCTAGCTTGTCATTCAAGGCTGCAGTTGGACAACGCTCACATGTGAATAGCTGCAGTTTAAAAAGCTGATCGATCCCAACATTGTGATGCGAATACTTTCGCTTCCATGTGTTTTGGGAGAATCGTACATCGCAATCGAGCTATGTCGTTGCTGTGTCATCATCTATGTGCCATGCGCTACTTGATGTACCAGCCTGCTATGCCGGATACCGCCAGCCATGCATCGACCAGGCGCCAGGCGCGAACTGATGGTGGTGGTGGTGAGAAGGAGAGCTCTGTGCCAGAACTTTGCAGCCTAGAGAGCGTGTGTGGGCAGGCGTGTGTTTACCGCCATATTGCCAGGTGTGTCTTTACCACCATATTTAGCAACCATAAGTACAGCTGCAGTGGTGTCTTCAACTTCATTCTCCCGAGTCAAGCTCCGTATGAAGACATCCAAGAAGATTGCCTGATGAGTCCAGCGGGGACGAAACGTACGTCGCAATCGAGCTATGTCGTTGCTGTGTCATCATCTATGTGCCATGCGCTACTTGATGTACCAGCCTGCTATGCCGGATACCGCCAGCCATGCATCGGCCAGGCGCCAGGCGCGAACTGATGGTGGTGGTGGTGAGAAGGAGAGCTCTGTGCCAGAACTTTGCAGCCTAGAGAGCATGTGTGGGCAGGCGTGTGTTTACCGCCATATTGCCAGGTGTGTCTTTACCACCATATTTAGCATCCATGTGTTTCACTTTAACTGAAGTTGTTCTTCCGTCTGAGCTTCGGAAACTCTACGCCGTACAGCTGAGCCCATCTCTACTCCGCCACCTACACCATCACTATTGGCTCTGCAGTCAGGGACAATTCTTTAGCCACTAGTTCATGAGGTATTACATGAACATGTTTTCCCTCTTCACCACCGCTCTTGAATCGCATCAACTACGTGCCGTGATCAGTTCAGGAGAGACAAGCCACGACATTGGACATCGGACTCTTTCTTGCAGTTAGTGTTTTATAAGTATAACTGTAGTTTCACACTGCCTAGGCCCAGCCATCAAATTCTGCGACAAGGAAATGATTCTTCTACTGCTGGTGTTGCATATTGGGATAGGTTACCTCCAGGTACTCGGATTTCGTTTTTGTAACACTCCACACCACATAGCTACTCCCTCTCACTGCAGCATGGCACTCCTAAGGCAGTTGTCCTAGAGCTGTTGAGCTGGCAAATAGGCTTTGTGATAATGGTGGCTGATCACCACGGTCGGTGTGTTCAAATCATGGTACTAACACTAGCCGCTCTTGTAGATTCGAATCAAATGCTCGTCCACTGTAACACCTCCTGTGCAGCAGTACTCACAAAGTAAATGCCTTCATTCCAGCCCGATGAAGTTAGCCAGGTCTGAAACTTTCCACGGTTGTAGATTAGTCCTACGAATACAAGTAGTTACAACTGGCTTGGCAAGCTATGATGACTTTCCCCTGCTTTCCACACATAATTGTTGTGCTGCTCCTTGTTGGAATCATGCCTACTTTTCCGGGGAGCCAAGATGACATTGTAATGAAGGTTCTGCTGAATTTAGCATCGATCCATTCGTGGACGTTCCGACAGCAAAAGCACCAGCGAGTCAATGCAAAACTTTGAAGAAAGTGTCCAAACGAGGTAACACATTTCTGGTATGTCACAACTACACTACGGTACTTGATGCTCAATCTTTCCAACTCTCGCACAAAATCAGTGTACGCGTCGGTTCGCATCCTGTGTATGTACGGTGTTACTATAGCTCCTGGCACATAAAAGGGTAAAAACTCCCAGGTCCAGTCAATATAGTACCGAGAAAGTCTTGAAAATGCTTGAATATAGCCGATGAGAACTTAGTTTTTTCGGCAATTTTGTATTCCTATCGAGGGTGATTTCGGGACCTTTGGACGCGATTGGACTCGCCATACTGGGCCAAGATGCTCTTGAAGACATTATCTATCAAATAACACCGAAAAATCCTTGTTAGCCAACATGTGTCAAGGCATGTATTTTAGAGGTCGATTTTTTGAATTGGCCCCAGTACTACATGTATTCACATGTATTGTAGTCCCGTCAATCAAACTGAAATGCATGTATAGTATAACATGTCCATACTGTTTGGGATGAGTATGGCACTACCATGAGTATAAATACTAAATCTTGTTCCATGTTTACCTGCACTGATTGCAGGTCCGGTTTACGCACGGCGTTGGGAAAATGTGTGGAGGCTGCTATGAATCGCCTGGACATCATCTGGACAGATATTGGCCTTGGCGAGGAGCAGAAGTGTGCCAGAACAAAGGTGGTCTTTGAACACATGCAAACCCTGCTGGATGATATGGCGAATGAGGAAGAGGCGTGTCGCACCAAACTGAAGGACAGCATGACCGAACACTTGACGGAGTACACCAAGCTTTGTACCGAGCTGCACGTGGAAATGGTCGAGGTCAGTTGGTGTGTGTATGTGTGTGTTATTTCTCTCTCTTCTCTCTCTCTCTCTCTCTCTCTCTCTCTCTCTCTCTCTCTCTCTCTCTCTCTCTCTCTCTCTCTCTCTCTCTCTCTCTCTCTCTCTCTCTCTCTCTCTCTCTCTCATAAGGGTACTTATAATCTGCTTCTGCTAAAATATAGTGAGTAGCATTTTGACAGACTATTCAAAGACAGAACTCTTCACCACTCGTGTAGTGAGCGTGTATGCAGTGTTCATGTACCTGTCCTCTTATGGCACTAGTGAGAGGAGCATCAAACTATGCCACCTTGTATAGGGCTTTAAAGTGCTACGTCACAGTCAGCCCACAGTCAAGACAACGCTGACTTTTGGATCCAGCTTTCGTATGGATTCATACATGTTTAGGTGGTTATCTTTCACAGGGTGACACATCCGCTGGCAGTGACTGGACTGGGCCCTCTCGCGGTCAGGGCGCCACTTCTGGTGCAGAAATTGTTTACACCTGCATGCGACACGAATGGCCTTCCCACCACATCCTGCATTTCGCTATGGGTGCATTGGATCCAAATTTCATTCAGAAATCGTTCTAATTTATTTTTACTTCTGACGTCATCACATTCAAGCCCTATTGTGTTTTCCGAGTGGCGAATTCTTAGAGCTTATTGTCGCAATTGTTGTTGTCACCGTCATCATTCTTGCGATCATCATTGTTATGACTGTTGTGCATGTAGGTCAGCGAAGAGAGTACGCTGCTGGAAAAGGAACAGATGCTGCGTGGCATGTGCACCGAGCTGGCAAAGGTATGTACTTTGAGTAGAACTATTGGCAGCATGTCTATATAGCTAGGGATTATTTGCCATGCAGTAGCTCTGGGCACAGTTTTGAATCGAACCTTTTGAGACATGCAGCAGATAAGAGACATATGGTATGAGTTGCTGCTCAGTTTCCAGTGTCTTTAGGTGCACGTTCATGCATGTCTGTACATTCCGTGCGATGTTTGCGCATAGCCAAGACAGGTAGTGTTCTGGATCCACACGACCAAGGGTGAGCTAGTATCAGCCTCCACTGGATGCTGACCTGTGTGTGTGTGTGTGTGTGTGTGTGTGTGTGTGTGTGTGTGTATGTATGTGCATGTGTGCTTGCGGGTGTTTGTGTGTGTGTTTACGGCCGTTAGGAGAAGCACACACGCATGAAATGCCTGAAGGAGCTCCTGTCCAAAGAAGAGCAGCTGTGTCAGGTGTTATGCCGGCCAAGATCCTTGCCCCAGGATACGGCCTCCACAAAGAAGGACAGCCTGTGTCCGACATTGAAACAGCTCGATGAGTGGAGTAAATCAGTGGAGGAATTAGCCAAAGAACAGGTGAGTTGTCTGGCAACGATAGCAGATCTAACACACAATCCAGTTATGGTGGCAGGATTCTGATGGGTTTCCAGTGTGTAATTTCATGTTGGCATTGGTTCTGCTCTACGTAGTGGGAACGCAAAGATTTCAGTACTCACATACTCGGGTTTTTCACGTGTCGTAAAAAAACGTGTTCATAGACATAGACTAGGTTCACGTAAAGAAATTACCAGAAATGTGTAGTGGGAATTTCCCGTTCCAAATAAGACAGTTTTCTGACAGCCTACTGCCAAATTTGAGTTCTACTCAACAGATCCACACGCATTTATTTTGTCTGTGCCACAACGTCGAGATTCCCATGTAGACGTAAACGACTTTCGTGTGAAGCAGAACCAATCTTTTATTACTAGGGTTTCTTGTGGGCCTTTAGATGGTCAGTGTAGATATTTTTGTTGAGAACAGACATCCTTTCTGCTTATAATTTATATTTATATTATAAACTGTGCTCCCTCTCTGATGTTTGTACTTGTTTTCTGCCACAGAAGCAACGCCTTAAGGAGCTCAACGCCACGAGAAAGCAGCTAGAGGCGTTCTGGTCAGAGCTGGAGCATGAACCCAGCAATGAGTTTGAGCAGGAGCTGATGAGGGGATCGCCGGAGAAACTACAGCTCACGGACACAACACAGAGTCGAGCCGAGCAGCTGTGCTCCGATGTAAGAAGCTGCAAAGAACTGGCTTGGCGTTGCAGTGCTGTACAGTGGTGACCGTGCCTGTCCATATTCGTGATTCTGTTGTCTCCTCTCGCCTGGGAATTCCTGAAGAAGCAATGCAAACGAAGAGAATAGTCTTGATTACCTTGTATTATGCAGTTGAGCTATGTGCATTTGTCTTGCTATTCGTTTTGATGCCCCTAGTAGTGCTAGCTAAGAGCTTTATGTATTTCGATTTTAATATCGACTCTTGCTTGTGCTACCTGTAGCTAGGAAATGAGGGAATTGTCAGTGGTGCTCGTGCCTGTCTGACGTATTATTGCTGCTCTTTGATGTTGGTGTGCTGTGAGATGAACGAAACACATGCACACACGCGCTCACACATGCACACACACACGCGCGCGCGCGCGCGCGCACACACACGCATGTGCTAACTGGAAATGTTATCTTGCTCCCCTACCACCAACCCCAGTGCGAGTTCCAAGTGGCCGAACGGAATCAAGTAGCTGAGGATTTACGCTGTCGCCTCGCACCGCTGTGGGATCGTCTGCAGGTGGACGAAAATGACCGAGCCAGTTTCTTATCACGACACCAGGGCTGCAAGGCATCCATAGTACAAGCGGTTAGTAATACAGTACTTGATTTGTGGGGAGTTGCAATTCTCTCACGGTTGATGTTATCATTTGAATTCGAGCTTTATCTTGAACTTGAATTTGTGTCCTGTTTATTCCATGTGCATGCATTGCAGCTACGGCATGAGGTGGAACGACTCGAAGAAATTCGACGGCAGAACATCGGGACGTTCATTACGTCGGTCAGGTTGGTGCAAAGTAGGGGTGAAAGTTGGCACTGAGATCCCGAGTTCGAGTACTCTGATTTTCTCCGATCGAATATTCGAGTATTCTTCATCTCCTAAAAATTGCACACCAAGGGCCTTAAAATCACATCATGATACAACCCTGATTGAACCGAGTAGCGGTCATTTTTCTCGGGTATATTGGTTGGTGGGTCATTTGGGCTCTCTCTACTCGTGAACAAATGTTCACCACACAGTCTGCACATCAATATCTGCCGACTGCTGCTCTGAAACTGCAGATTTCTGTGGTAAATGCATGTACCATGTATGAACGAGTACTCTGTTTTATTCCGAGTACGATTATGTTTGAAAAAACCGAGCGAGTACTCGAGTATTCGGTATAATTGTTTCACCCCTAGTGCAAAGACATGCATACGCTTCTCGTCCGCATTGTTTTACAGTTGCCAGGAGAGCAGGGATACCAAGCCAAAACTGGGCGAGGCGGCTTGGCGAATGCCATCGCCGCCGTGCGGATACATCAGCCGTAGATGAGTTGGGCAGGTGCAAGCAACGTTGATTGATGACGACTACACCATAGCTTAGTCACAGAGCATCGCTGGCCATAAGCGAGGGTCCCGTGGTTCAAGTCCTGGTGGTGACAGTTATTTATTTCTTCAGACTTGTCCCGTTTGCACCTGTCCCTCAAACCAGTGAATATTTTATATGCTGGGGCTCCCTGCATGCAAGTTTGTACATGAAGTGTGTGGGTTACAGTGAAGGCTGTGTCCCACCCGCCTGTGTGGATTCACAAGAAGCGTGAGTTCCGAAGTAAAATGTTGAAGGGTCGCTGCTTGGATGACGACTACACCATAGCTTATTCATATTGGTAGAGCATCGCTGGTCATAAGCGAGGGTCCCTGGCACGAGTCCTGGTGGTGACAGTCAATTTTTTCTTCAGACTTCTCCCGTTTGCAACTTTCCCTCGAGCGAATGAATATTGATTTGATGTATAGTCAGACCACGCTTATCCGGTCCTCTTTTATCCGGATCCCTCGCCATCCGGAAGAAAAATCGTTGGTTACCGATTTACGGCACATGCCATGCATACATACCGTATGTATGTGTTCGATTATCCGGTTCCCTCGCCTATCCGGATATTTTTTGTGGAAAACGGATGTGTGCGGTTGTGCGAGGTCTGACTGTATCATGTTTTGGGAAGGTTGTCTTGTTATTTCAATGGCCTGTTGTGAATTTGTCTGCTTGATTTAGGCAAGAAATTCATCTACTCTGGGACCAGTGTCAGTTTGGCTCGAAGCAGCGGCAAACGTTTCGCCCAGCGTACTCAGGTGTGTTGATGTTTGGTGATTGTATGACTGTGTACCTTTTGCTTTCACTATTGCTGTTATGACTAGTTGTTGTAGTCCCTGACCAGCTATACTCATCAGGCGGTAATATTCACACATGCACACACACACACACACACACACACACACACACACACACACACACACACACACACACACACACACACCTTGGACCTTGGACGCGCTGCCATATTCTGGCTATGCGGACCCCATGGGGGGTTGAGCAGGTTCGGAACAGTAGGGGCGATGACGGGATAGGACCTGCGGTCTACTGAAACGCCGACCGCAATTGCAAACGATGCAGAAGGAGCTACGGTCTGTGTTGGTTGCTCTGGCCGAGCCACGGCTGCACTTGTGAAGCTTCATGCCTTAGCGCGATAGCACACAGCGGTTGCAGCGGGCGCAGTGGAGCTGCAGCGTTCGCAGGACATATTGCACACACGCGCACACACACCACACACACACACACACACACACACACACACACACACACACACACGCACACACCACACACACACACACGCGCGCGTGTGCGCGCGCACTTGTGCATCGTGCAGGATGATATTCGCCGGGATCCCCAAATTTCCATTCTCAAGTGATTGTATAATTTGCTTCCCGTTGCAACCAGGCTTTGATATCATAAAGTATGAATATTTAATGTCCTTGTCCATTGAATCTGTTGGTACTTGTAGATGACTTTACAGAGGAACTGCTCACACTTCACGAGGCCGAGCTTGTCCGCTTAAAGACATTCGCTGCAGACAACAGCAATCTTTACCAGCTGGTGGAGCGAAGAGACAAGCTCTGGCATCGTCTTCAAGAGCTCGTCGTAAGTACTCTACAGCCACAGAGTTTGGCAGGTAGCAACAGGTGTGTAAAATGGTGCTCAACGCACTGGGTGCAGAACCGTCACACACATGGAAGACAGGCGAAGTACAGTGACATTTCAGTATATCGCCTCTGAGGATCATCGAAATCTGTACTTTTTAGTTTTTACCAAGTTTTTCGCCGATGTGCCGTATATCCAAGGTGGGCAGACTGCCACAACTTACAAATTTGAGCTCTGGCGGTATCCCAGCTGAGCGGACTCTCAAATGACTGTTACAGTGTAATGCTGGATCATCAAAAAAAGTACAGTGTATCCGGAGTACTCTATACAGGTCTGCTCTCGATATAACAACTCTCACTTGTACATAAACCTCGCTAGTAAGTAAAAAAATCAAATCCCGCGCCGAAACAGCATCACTCCCATACAAATTTTGTTCTACACAACATAATCCTACATAACATAAACCTCGACATAACACACGCTACGGCGCGGTCCCTGACGTGCGCACTCTCGATACAACATAAATTCACGTGCACGGTACGATCAAGCGGTAGCTGTAGCTAGGCACTTTAGTCCTACATAACGTAAACTTCGGCATAACGCACCCTGTGGCGCGGTCCCCGACGTGCGCACTCTCGATACAACGTAGATTCACGTGTGCGGTACTACGATCAGGCTGTAGCCGTAGCTAGCCAGTTTAGTCCTATTGTGTATATTCTGCGGCTTTGATGGTATCTGATGTCGATGGTGGTACAGTGTGTATATATTTGCACGGTTAAACCCGCCTTATAATACCCTTCATTTTGAGGTACATCTTGTATTTTACACACGGTTTTCTACATAACATAACTCTCAATATAACATAATTTGTGCGTGGTCCCAGAGATTACGTTATATGGAGAGTAGACCTGTAGTAGTCTATACTGAACTGGTTCACAGTGTTGTAGTCTGTGGCAAGTTGGCAACCTAATCTTGAGTAGCTTTGCCTTTCATGTGTGTACTACTGTACAGTACTGTCGGGCGCTGAAGAACGACCAGGCTAGAATTTCACCAAGTACAGCATACCAATGTAAACACGGTGACTCAACCATGCATAGACTGCAATACATGAAAATAAGAACGGTCTAGGCTAGGAGGCTGACCCCCCCCCCCCAGTTCTTCGGCCACCGACAGTACTGTATATTAGCAAGTAATGTTAGTTAGCAGTTTTCCACGTGTGCAGTCGGTTTGAACAGCAAAGTGCAGAGTACACACAACATGCCGTGCGTGTCTCTCAGCAGTAGCAACTTAGATGTATAATGTGTCTACGTGCATGCTTCGAAGTGCCACTGCCTTGTATCTGCCTTGTATCTGCCTTGTATCTGCCTTATATCTGCCTTGTATCTGCCTTGTATCTGCCGCACTGTGTTGAGCGTGTAACGTTGTTCATATTCTGATGTGGACTTCATCTCTCAACGCATTTCAATGTGCATGTACCTACAGCTGAATGCTACAATCATACTGGGAGCAAAGCCAAACAAGTTATTACCGGTAGTTGTTACTCTGTGTGTCACACTACAGGGCGAGCATCAGACAACAATATTATCTGAATACCACCCCTGGTGTCCACGCCTCTGCTACAATTGCCAATGCGTTGCATGCCGTTCTTTTGCTTTCCCCTCTATTTATGTGTAGAATAATGCGAACAACCCGGACCGTCTCAGCAACCGCGGTGGGCGCCTGCTGAAGGAGGAGAAGTTGCGCAAACAAATCAGCAAGGAGCTGCCCAAAGTTGAGAAGGACCTGCGGATAGTCGTGCAGGATTGGGAGGCCTCGAACAAGCATTCGTTTCAGATCAATGATGCCAGGTACCTGGACTCCATTGAGATGCAGTGGGACAGCCATGCTCAGAGGAAGGAAGCGGAGAAAACAAAACGAGTAAGCTGCGTACCTAATTGGGTGTTTCTTCCCCTCGTGTTACATGCCTTTATTTGATGTGTGTGTGTGTGTGTGTGCGTGTGTGTGTGTGCACGCGTATGTGTGTTTGTATGTGTGTGTATGTATGTGTGGGTGGGTGGGTGTGTATGTGTGTAACCTGTCGGAAGGCTACCTTCTTGCCAGCATTTGGAAGTTGGACTAGTTTCGGCTCCACAATCCAGTGTGTCGTTACTAGAATAGCTTTCATGGCTGAGGTTGTTGGTATGTCTGTTGGTTCTGGGTTCCCAGTACTGAGTAGCCGAGGCTGGTTGGTAAAGTAACTCCAATTTCACTTCAAGGTACCAGTGCATCTAGTGTCTGCTTCTATCAAAGCAGCGTGCTGTCTATACTGGTTACCCCAGCAAGTGTAGGGTGTGCATAGGTAACTGCCTTGGCCGTTTTATGCCGATGTAGTCCGTGTGGTGTAGACCAGGTGCACATTGGTGGTCGATTCACATGGCTTCGCCAGTTGTGTGGATAAGACAGTTATCTGGCGCAAGTCTTGATCTGTCTCATTCAGATCTTGTTCGCTATCGTTGCTATAAGAGAAAATCCGTGGGTGCACATCCAGTGCATTTACGGATTTGCGTGCTTCTCTTGCGACGGGCGTATACATGGTACATGGTGTGTACGTGCATGTGTGTGCACGCGCGTGCGTGCGTGAGAGACACACAAAGAGAGACAGACAGACAGACAAACATACAGACGGAGAGAGCATGTGCTTGTCTGCCACTCTGTGTGCTTGTTCATTGCTCTTGGCCTTATACCCGGAGCAAGACAAAATCTGTATCCACATTCCCTAGCACCACTCATCATTTCTGCCGTGCGCTCTGCTTTGTGCAATGTTCAGCTGCAAGACAAGAAGGCGATCATCGAAGAGGAGATAAAGTATGGCAGCCGAGCCACTACCCCTCTGAAAAGGTACACATAGATGATGCATGTACTGCCATGCTGATTATCTAGTCGTTGCCTTTGGGTCATTTCATAATAATAATAAAATAAATCCGGCCAATGCCGATACAGTGATATGGTATGCGGACATGGCGGCGGTACCACATGGTAGACGGTCTACTGGTAGCGGTATGCTTTTACCAATGTTTGCTATAGATCTAGCACTGTGGCACTGTACTGGCTATGCAGCTACAGTGTACGTACATGATAGGTATGTGCCGTGGTAGTGTACGACTACCATGTACATGTTCAGCATTGGCCGGATTTTCTTGGCGACGATTATCTATACAGACTGCTTGGCCAAACCATACTAGAAAACAAGACGTGAACTGTTTCCTCGGAGATGTTGCTCAAGAGCCTGAAGTGTTTCCTTCTTAGAAACAACACAGCTCCCCTGAATGCTACCGGTACAGCTTAGGCGAAAGGAGTAACCATGGTATAGCATCCAGACTCGTATCTATTATTAATCCTGTGCCGGTGCTGTAGAACGGGTAATTTTAGCGACGTAAAAACCCTAGCGAATTTAGCGATCGACTCATTTTCGCTAAAGTTTCAAGTCGCTAATCCGTTGAGACATTAGTAGTGCGCTGGTGATCCGTGAGTAAAATCGCTGCAAATCGCTAAAATAAAACGTCGCCAACCGGTTGACAATGGGAAAACGTTAAAATTAATAGTCGCTAAAATTACCAGTTCTACAGTAGTGCAGCGGAAAATTTGTTATTGCCGACCCGGTACCCATGAGTGATTACACGACCAGTAGTCACCAGTCATAGATGTACATGTAGTCAAATGTCTCTCTGCTAGATGCGGTTCGCATAAGGGGCCATCCGTAAATATAGATATGTATTTTTAATTTAGAAATGAAAACCAGTCGTTTGGGGGGGGGGGAGAGGATGGGGGAGGGGGTTGAGCGCCTGTTCGTTTCTTGAAAAATATCGATGTACAGCTTATATGTGTGAGCACGTCCAGAAAAAAAGGAAAAAATATCGATACTATTTACCGTTTGTATGTGTTCCTTTCTCGGGGAGGGGGGGGGGGGGGGGGTGAAGGGTTGAAGAGAAATGACTAATTTTCGTTTCTAAATAAATATCGGTATTTACGGATGGCCCCTAAGAAGTAATTTGTTGGCCCCTCGTGCCACTGTACTAATCAGTAGTTCTGGTCTTCAGAAGGTACGCCAAAGTAGAAGGCAACGAGCGGGCTCTGGGACAGGGGCGCCCTGCCCCAAAATGGGGTATTTTGTAAACATGCATTGAGTGTTCGAGTCTCACCTGTGACTTTATTCAGTTTTGTTTTGACACGTGGTGTCCTGCCCTACATGATTTCGAAATGATAAGCGATTAGGTGTGGACCGAAAAATGTATGAAGAGAAAGGAAATTTGAAGATCAAAATACACAGAAAGGCTTGTCTGGGCACGGCAAATAGTTCTGTGAAGGTTTCGGAACAATCAGCAGAGATTCAGCCAGGTTTAGGCATTTTCCTATGGTTAAGGAAATGTAGATAAAAAGGTAGCAGCGGCTTTCGGCCTGTTTATCAATAAAGCAATTCCACCACATGCGCTCTCTGGTTCTCTGTTTTCTCTGTCAGTATCTACAACTTGGTGTTATGTTGCTGGTGTGATGAGGTCAGCCAGAGAGCGCATGCGGTGGATGCACTCTCGTCTTGGTTGCTACTGATCATACTTATACATACTGATACACCACACACACACACACACACACACACACACACACACACACACACACACACACACACACACACACACACACACACACACACACACACACACACACACACACACACACACACACACACACACTTGCACGCACTTGCACGCACTTGCACACACTTGCACGCACTTGCACACACTTGCACACACTTGCACACACGCATACATGCAAACACACACCTACATGTCATGGAACAAAGGAGTGCATGACCACGGATGGGCGAACAATGGGGCACCCGTACACCCGAGGAGACTGGTCTACACGCCCACATGCCCCTCCACTCTGACCAGCACAGGACACGCACTTCCCCACACTCAACGGAACACATTGCCATTCATGCTATCATCTTTTATTTTCAACAAGGTCGTGCATTTGGTCTTCCCCGCCGCACGACTACGCCGACCTAGACATGTACAGAGGCACAAAAGACAGCAGGGTATGTTTCAGGATCAAAATGGTGCTTCACAAACATTCCGTCATTGTCAGCTATTAGTTCTAGTCCATGGCCCGCACCCTTGTCGAAGTTCACAAGCAGCGGGTGCGGGTATTGGTGAAGTTGTCTTGTACCACACCCTTCAACGACCCCACTGTGCACACACAGGTGTGGATTACTTAACGCAGAAGCCATGACTAGGGTGCTTCTCCAACTAGCGCCTTACCTCTCCACTTACGGGCACGTCCACGCCCACGTCCCCGACCCCGTGGCTGCCGCCCAGTGAACACATTCCTGATGTTTATTCTGCAGATGAACACAGAGCATAGCACATACATATATGGTGTGAGTGTCAGTGCACATCCGCCACTGCCACCACAGGTTGCACACGGCACATCACTCACATCTGGCCGTGGTATGAATGTGTGGGCGA